ATTTGGAAAATATTCAGTTAAAATTTTAAATAAATAAATAAAAAGAGAAAATTTCCCAAGGACTGGTTTTTTGTTGTTTTGTTTTGTTTTGTTTCTAATAGCTTTTCTTCTTTCTCTAGCGTGCGTTTTGCCAGTCTTCCAAACCCCGGCCCTCCTCTGCATCAGCTGCTTGGCTGAGGCCAAGGCCAAAATCACCCAGAGCGAGGACCAGCCTGTCATTTGGTAGGCGAAGTGGGAAGGGGTGGGGGCAAGCCGGGGAGATGCACCCCCACTCTGCCTCCCGCTGCGGATCCTTTGAAGCCTTTGGCCAATATTTCCGAGGGATCCGAGGCGTAATCCCCTCCATCTTCGCAGACAGCTACTAGTGCAGTACCTGATGGAGTCGCTTCCCGGCTCTGCCTGGAAGTCGCGCTTTCCTGTACCCTGTACCGGCTCCAAAAATGAACCGAAAGGGAGGGGAAGTGGATGGGAAGATGCCTCTTTTTTAAAAAAATCTTCTCTCCCCTCACCCCTCCTTCCTCTCTTTTATCCCAGGCCTGAGCAAAGTAGATGGCTGACTGGGCACACAGACTAACAAAGCGGTCACAGTGAGGAAGACACCAGAGGGGGGCCTTCGGCTCAAGGTGAAAAAAATGCTAAATATTTTTAGTATATTTCCATATACAACTAGGAACAGTTAAGTGCTCCAGGCTCTCCTCCTCCCCCCAAAAGAGATAGAATCCCGTCAGCCAACCAGCTAAATCGTGTCTCTTTGCTCTCTGTACAGGGTCTGCTTAGCATCCCCCCCCAACCAAGAACTTTTTTTCCTCTCACCTCTGTACGTTCTTCTCAGCACAATCCTGCGTTCAGATCAAGGTCTCTGCTTTTTCCTCCCTTCCCTTTTCTTTTTCCTCTCCCCAAAGCTAGTCGTCAGCACCGTACCTAGCCTCTCTCTCTCTCTCTCAATATTATTATTAATAATAATAGCCCTTTCGACATAACAGCATGAAATGGCTGCTTTGAGAAAGCACATTTAATCTTTACTGGCTCCCCTAGGCTTCAGTGAAGAAGGAGGCAAAGGGGGGAAGAGAGAGAGAGAGAGAGAGAGAGAGAGAGAGAGAGAGAGAGAGAGAGAGCGCAAGCTTGTAAGGGAGGCTGCTGACGGACAGCAAGCATCAGGCACAAATCAACGACAAGTTGAATTTTCCTAGACCACACTGCCCCCTTCCTTCTTGGCTCTCCCTGGGCTCCTGGAAAGCCCCAGTGTCTGGTTACAGGAGGTAACGGGTCTCCTTTTGCCAACCATGGTGCAGATTCCTCGCATGCCTGCTTAAATCTCTGGCAGAATAAGGAATCAATATCCCCCTCTAATCACCTTTAGCTCTTCGATGGCTTCCCCCCTTTTTCTGAGAATCCACTTGGCTCCCCTCGCTGCTCCCCCCGCCCTGCCAGGCTCCTGCATACAAAGCTCTGTCATCGCTCACTTCCTTCCATATCTCCGAGACAAGCCTCTTCTAATTTTCTCTCTCGCGCTTGCTCTGTGTTGTAGCGTGCCTCCTCCCGGACTCGCCGCACCGCATGCACAGAGACATCTTCCTGACTACTAATGAGACCAAAAATGCACCCGCAGGTCAGGGGGAAGCAAGACATTGTATTCTACAGATTAAAAAAAAAAATCCTCTTGTTAGACCTGCAGTTCAGATAGCACATTTTCTAAAATGAAAAAAAAAAAAAAAAAAAAAAAAAAAAAAGAAAAAAAAATCAAAGTGGGG